ACAAATTTCTCATCTTTTTGAGTTTTTTATTCTTTTCTGAGATGCTGCTGGCCTGAATACTATTTTCTTTGTCAAATGATATTGAAAATAAGAAACAATCTCTCAACATGCGTTTGTAGTCCAACGGTTAGGATAATTGCCTTCCAAGCAATAGACCCGGGTTCGACTCCCGGCAGACGCAATCCATATTTCCAAATTTAAGTTTTCTAAATCAAAATTAGATATATTAGGTTTTCATTTTCGATCCGATTTTAATTTTCAAAGATTTCAGAAAAAGTTCTAAAAATTAACTTATGATCAATATGTATATCAAAAGTTAATAAAATTCCAATTTCCGATAAAAAAATTTCCATGTTTTTTTGGAACATAATTGGATTTAAATTTCCATTTCCAAATAAAGTTAATAAAAAACGGAATTTCTTCGATTCAGATACAAAATTTTCCAACCCCCTTCCAATTTCCGATAATTTTTTTCCATGTTTTTTTGGAACATAATTGGACTTAAATTTTCATTTCCAAATGAAATTGGAAGTTTTTCAATGGTGTTGTTGCTAATTCCGATTTCCACCCCTAGTAGGTGTCTAGCCTTCCAGCCTTTAGAGAGTTCCAAAAAACCGAAAAAAATCAAGAAGACCAAAACATACAAGTACAGTATCTGTGGGATTTCTTCAACCATGGAATAAAATGAATACTGCATTCATCTCTTTACAATCTCAAACTTACTTTGAGCAAATTTTAAACCACCAATTATTCAACAGAGAGTAGTATATTATATGCACATATCATGAATGTGTATATATGTATGTGTACAATATCAATCATTAATTATTGTGTTACTTAACATTTTACTATATGAAGTACTTGAGATCGTCTATTTCGACAATCTCTCGTAGCTTCGACAATGCAGACGAGTTAATCTGCCTCACTCTCTCCCTTGAAAGCTCGAGCAATTTGCCTATCTCCTCAAATGACCGTGGCGCCCCTCCGTTCAATCCGTAGTGCAATCTCAAGACGTGTGCCTCTCTATCACACAAAGGTTCTAGAAGCTTCTCGATTTCCGGCTTCAACGCTTCTTTCTTCACCATTGCTTCCGGGGTCATCTCATCCGGCCCCGGAATTATAGCCTGCAATACATCATAAAACGAAGAATTCACGAAAAAAAATATACGGGGTTGGGGGATGGGGGGCCCTATCCTGGCTCCGCCACTGTAACTAATCATTAGAGTTCCACTAGTGAAAAAATGGGAACTAATTTTACGGAACTGTATTGAAAGAACCTGCAGAGACATCGAGCCTCGGCTTGTACTAGCTTGATCGAGAGAAATCGGAGATTTATTTCTTTCGATTGCAAGTCTTACAGATGAAGCATTAGCATCAATTTCTTCTGCAATTTCTTCGTAAGTGGGAAATCTTCGCAGCTTTCTGCTCAAGACAGCGTTTGCTTCACAAATCTTCGGTACAAGTTCGTGTATGCTGCCCTGTACACGAAAAGCTAACCAATGCACTTCACTAATTACGAATCTTTAATTAGTATTTTAATTTTCAGGACAACTAATGTAATGCGTAGTCACTTAATTACCGGTAATCTGATAATTTTCGACTTTTTCGTTATGGCTCGAGTGATGGCTTGCCTAATCCACCAGTACGCGTATGTCGATAGCTTGTACCCCTTTTCGGGATTAAACTTAATCGCCCCGCGTAAAAGGCCTATGCTGCCTTCCTGTGGATAATAAATAATATAATAATTCATTTTAACTTTTAATCATCGCCACAAAAAAAACGAAATGAATGCAGTATAAAATATTAATAGAGGACCTGAGTTAGATCTTGCAAGCTTAACCCTTTGCCTTGATACGAAGAAGCAACGGATACAACGAGCCGTAAATAGCTTTTAGTGATTCGTTTTTCCGATTGTTTGCCGTTCCATATAATTCTGTCGAGATTTTTTTGGCTTATTCCTGCAGCATTGGCCCATTGAATCGATGATAATTCGTGTTCTTCTTCCTCCATTTTTGCTAGTGCTTCTGTTCTTACAGCTTCAATTCTTGCTCTCTCCTGTTTTACAAATGAAACAACTTCATATTTTCATCAAAAGAAATATTGCTTCAATTTTTATCGACATTCGGAAATCGCATTTGAATTTGATTTGATTATAAGTGGAATCAAGCTTGAATTGAAAGAGCAGTAACATGAAAAATCGAACTCGAGCAACTTGATTTCTCTACACATAATTGTTATTTATGTTCTAATTGAATCGAGTTCGAGTCGAGCTTCGTAGCTTTAACTCAGTAACATGAATCGAACTCGAGCAACTCGATTTCGTTACACATAACTGTCATTTCTATTCAAACTGAATCGAGTTCGAGTCGAGCTTCATAGGTTTAACTCGTACGAGTTTTTCAATAATTAAATCTAGAATCACATAATTAAGAAAAAAAAAAAAAAAATATATATATATATATATATATATATATATATATATATATATATATATATACCTGGAGGTGCCAGGAAAATTTGGCTTCTTCTTTAGGGTTCATAAACCTGGATTTTCCTGAATTCTTATCCGAAAACAGAAATTTGTGATTTTGATAATCATCGTCATCGTCAATGTTCATACATTCCAAAAGGTTAATTCTTCTTCTTCTTCTCCTCTTCCTTCTGATTGCAACTCCATTGCGCCAAAAATGTTCTCTCTCTACCTCACTTTCTCTCTCCTCCTTCACATCCAAAAACGACGCCGTTTCGATCCCGATCAGTGGGTCTTCTTCTTCTCGGACTGTAACACAGGCGTAATTCGACGAAGAGTGAGGGCTACTGTACAGAAGAGGGTTATTGGAGAGATTGTAAATTGAGATTAATTTGAGATAAGAGGAATTGGTGGTGGTGGAATGTATTGAGGAGAAAAATAAGTTTGAAGATGAGCATATGGCCATTAATGGAGTTTGCATATGTGTTCATTAATGGCGGATGAGAGGCTGAAATATAACTGAATGAAATAAGTGTTGTCCACTCTTGTGGGAGATATATATATGTATAGTGTATATATTTCTCATCAAAAAAAAAAATGTATATATATTGGTTTTTGGTTTTATTTGATGCACTAGTTTCAGATATTTTATTTATTTACATGTTTTTCTGTTTTTTGTTGTTTCAATGCAAATTTATTTTTGGGAAAATTAGTGAAAACCCCTTTTGAAATGTACCATATTTCAAAATAATTAATGATAGTTCCTCCGCTCTTATAGTATTTCTTCGTAAAAATTATGCATTAAACTAGACGTAAATCGACAATGTTGTTTGCATAGCTGATTAAAAAAATTGACTATGGTTGAATAAAAAAATTAAACCGTATATTAGACCTCAAAAATAATAAATCGACTATAAAAAAACATAGTTAACTTATTAATCAAATGCAGTCGATTACGTAAACTGCAAATAACAATGCCAAAATTAATGGAACAAAAACGTCGATAATCATGGAGAAGACAAGTTCAGCGGAGCTACGGGAGTATAATTTTTGGAAAAGACAGTCACCAATTTTTACAAGTTAATTATCAGTTTCAATAATATTACTACCATTGTTTGTCAAAATACTTTATCTTTAAAAAATTTCCCAATTATTTTTTTTAAAAGTTTGTTAGTCAATTTTCATCAACGTGTTCTTCATAAACTTGAACAAACATAAATGAAGAAAATGCATTACTACTACTAATACACAGTAGATCAACATCTTATTATATACCTCGAGTATTCTTTTCTTTCCATCAGGTCCTTTGAAATAGTGAAAATTCCTTTCCAACCCTCGATATATATGGGCCTGAGGGCCCCCATATCCCACTTGCCGAAACGTTCACTCGCACGTGCTTACCTTTGGCGCCATTTCTTTCACACAGTTCCACCCACTGTAGGTTTAATCATCTCTCTTCTCTCTCTCTCTCCAAAACACACGTAACACACACACACAGTAAAAACCCTACTTCTCACACCTTAATTTCGATTCAATTAGAGCTCGCCCAAGGATTCGCCACGCCAATGGCGGATGAGCGGAAACCTAAAAGGCCCAAAATTTCCAGGTTACCCCTTTTTTTAACCTCTGTTTTATTTATTAATTTTACCCATTTTTTGTTTGGGATTCCGGTTTTTCTTTTTCGGTTCGAATTGTTGGTTCTACTTTTTTAGGGCTTGCTAAGTTGTAGTTTTTTATGCAGAAGGTATTGCACTCGGATGTTGTATTAGATTACTAGTTTCAGACGTCCAATTTTCAATTTTGCTTGCTGCACTGCGTCCTAATTTTTCGACGAGCACAAAAATATGTACTCGTTCTTGTCTGATTCCTCTGTTTAGAAGGAAAAAAAATTGAAATTGTTGTTTTATGGTTGTATATTCGCGAGTTTCTTTTGATAGTTTCTGTTGAATGTCACAACGAAATATACCCACCTTTTACATGGAACGTATTTTTGATGTTGCGTTGTTTCGATTCCAGATTTATTAGTGCAAGTTTCTCCAGCATGTTCCGATATCACGTTACGACTATGTTAAAGCTCCATTTAGGGTTAAGAATTTTAAGAAAAAGAAAGGAAGACATTGAAAGTAAGACTGGTGAAGTAATGATTACGATGTCCTGAAAATATTATGGGGAAGGAGGAAATGTGTTTTGCTGGAAATTTTGTTATATGTTTGGTTCTATTGCTGGGAAATAAAAAAAATATGAGGAAATTCAAACAAATGTTGAAATCTACGTCATATTCTTCTTGGATTAAATGCATATAACAGTCAAGTACTTTTATGCAGAGGTTCCCCAGTTTGCAGACATGGTTACTGTGCTCCTCGTCTGTACTTCATGCTTTATGTCATGGATTTCTATTACTACTTAGTAATTTATTGTTAACCTTTCCTTCGATGGTGTGATTTTGTTTAAATTGATCATATTTCGACCCACAATTGCAGGTGGATTTTTTATTGACAATCTTGTGTAGATGATCTTTCTACTTTTAACCTATCATGCTGCAGTTTTTATATCTCTCAATTTTCAGTGAACAATTGTGATGAAATCGTATATCTTCTCCTTTACATGTGCATTGAAACTTGATAATTTTGAAGCATTTAACTCTTGGATTTAACAGAAATATATTTTAAATGTTGAGCCGAATAATGTTCGTTGGAGTCATACGCAAAACACACTAAAATTTCTATTAACCATAAAGATATGTCACCGAGGGAATATTTGGTAAGGCTCCACATACAATATTTAAGTAAGACCAATAAAGTGAGAGAAGACGTTTTGCATCTTCAAGTCAGTAAGAAAACACAATTATTCACAGTTGATGCGAATGAGGTGCAGGGATACCCCTCTACAAGTTTGCTCCTTTCTGATTGCCCTATCCTTTTGTAGACCAGATGTTTCGAAGTTCTCCTTTTTCTGATTGTGATTGTCCTTCAGTTTTGTTGAACATTTTCTGGGATGCTTCAAGTTTGATTGCTACAAGTCTCCAAAAGAAATAAGGAAAAACTTCTCATTTACCTGAAATGTTTTATTTAATTTCTAAAGTTTGCTCCTTTCACATTAATGTGCAGGGGGGACGATGATTACATGCCAGGAAATATAACTAAAATTGAGCTCTTCAACTTCATGACCTTCAATAAACTGACGTGCAAGCCAGGCTCACGCTTAAATTTGGTTATTGGACCAAATGGATCTGGAAAAAGCTCTCTTGTATGTGCCATTGCATTGGGACTGGGGGGTGAACCTCAGGTGAAAATGACATTCTTTATCATTTGTCCATTTATTCTTTCTAATTATGCCTCTGAAGTTTTCTGAGAGAAAAAAGCTTTCCTTTCCGCCTTAAAAATAAAATAAAATTATGCAGCTTCTGGGGAGGGCTACTAGTGTTGGAGCTTATGTGAAGCGTGGGGAGGAGTCTGGATATGTTAAGATTTGTCTGAGAGGAGAAAGAGAGGATGACCCAATCACGATTACAAGGAAAATAGATACACGCAACAAATCTGAGTGGTTATTTAATGGTAAAGTGCTTTTTCTTGACAACCAATTTGTGGCCGGATATTTCCTCTGAGCATAATTTCTCATATAATAATGTTACTGCAACAGGCAACCTCTTTGCATTGCATCATAAATTTAATTTATAGTTACACTCAAGCCTATGCATGTTATTTCCATGTATATATGTCAATGCGTTCTGAAAGGTTTGTGATGAAATGAAAGATACATTCAGTAGATTACCTGAATCATAATATCTGTTGTTTAACTTAATAAGAATTCTCTTACTCCGATAAAGGCCAGTTTCCTTCCTTTTAAATGAACCGACTCTTGAAGACCGATATTCCAGTGAACATGTGAGCTTCAAACAACACATAAAGATAATTTATTTTTTAAGATATATTGATTAGCTAGAGCTTCACGTCCAAACGGTGATTGTTTTCGTCTGATCTGGAGCTGGATGCTCTTTGCTTACCTCTTCATTGGTCTTATCACTTATGAAATTTGAAAAATCCTTCGATGGTTATTATATAGTGATGTTACCCCATGGGTGGCGTGGATGGTAACTGAAATGGAATTATGTGTCCTTCTGTTATAATGTTAGGTTTGCATTTGTAGTACCTCTGAGATGAATTATTTGCAAAATGCGTTCATATTTGATTTCATACACTTATTCTGTGTTTTGTCAGGTAAGGTTGTCGCAAAAAAGGAGATTAATGAAGTAATTCAGAGATTCAACATTCAAGTCAATAATTTGACTCAAGTAAGTTCTTGGTTATGTGCAAACGTTAGCAAGTTGTCACACACCCAAACTCACATGAAACAGAGTTTCAAATTCTAGTAAAGTTTTTTCACAACCAAACTTTTATACTTGCACTACTTAAGCTGTGAGGTGAGAGTGACCAGTCTTATTTTGATTTGTTTAAGACTTGGAGTATACTATTCTTTTTAGTTTGGATCTCTTCTGCTCTGCTCTTGATTGTGTGCCCTGTTTAGGCTACATAAACAATTCTCTTAATATGTTCAGAGACATATTTGTCCTAATTATTCTGATATCTTTCCCCTACATATGCCTGAAAGTTTCCTTAAGGATATTTTGTCATGACATTTCTAAGGGAGGAAAATTATCAATGTTGAATGACCACTTCATGTAAAAGCTTAAGTTGTTATTGAGCTGAATCATTTACTATTTGTATCTTCAACAATCAACTCGTTAATATAAAATTTATTTCATCTCGATAGTTTTGTTAGAGTGATTTACCAGAGGTAACGTATACTTAAGAAAGTTGGTCACAAAATGTGCTTAAAAAGCAAATAATAGCTGGTTAAATTTGGTTCAACACTTCTCCAATCAACATGTGTTATGTAAAAATGTATGTATGTTAATAATGTCTGGTCAAGAATTAAGAGTTAACTCTTTTGTATAACTGCAAGATACATTGTGATTGTTTGATTTGATTTTCTTCCTTTGCTATTTTTATTCATTAATTCCCCCATATGATTAGATGTTTATTCTAACATTCAACATGATGTCAGAACAGGTCTTAGGTTTCCTTGTTTTACTTCCACTTCTGCTATGTTTCAGTTCACGCATTTTATTCTCTCATTATACATTTGTTGTGGTTCTATAGAGCATTTCATTTGTTATAATCATCTACCACATTATTATGTTTAGATCATGCATGAAGCAATGTTGCTGGTCGGAAGTCTTCGATCAAGAAAACAATTTGATATTTTCAAGTGGGACACTCCAAGATCTCCATGTTCACCCCGAACAATAAAATTAAGAATTAAGAGTTGATTCTTTGATATACTGACAATTATCATAATAATATATTCTGATACTTTTTATTTGACTTTGTTATATCTTCACTGTCTAACTCACTCAGATAAATAGATGTTCATTCAAACACTAAATTAAGAGAGAACATTATAATGTATCATAGGCTCATAGCCATTTGACACTTTATCCATGGATGTAGGCTGAATGGCAGAATCAAATTGTATCTTTATGTTTTTCTATCTTTTTTTCATTTTTACTTATAAGTTTATTTAATAAGTATGTTTTTGTGTTTGCAGAACTGTAGCTATTTTATGGTATGCAATTTTTTTGCATGTGTGAGTTAGTGTTGCTTTCTGCTTGGGTCCAAGAAATGTCACAATTCTCTTTTATCCTCTTATCTTTATTCCAAGTTGCCTCCTTAATGAAACATTTACATCATGTGTTATGATTGCATATTGCTTCTTTACTTGAACATATTTTAAGCATTCAAACTAATTGGTCTTATTTCTCTCAAATGGCTTTAGTTTCTACCACAAGACAGGGTTTGTGAGTTTGCTAAGTTAACTCCTGTGCAACTTCTTGAAGAGACTGAAAAAGCTGTTGGTGATCCTCAATTACCTATTCAGCATAGGACTCTCATCACGAAGAGTCAGGAATTGAAAAAGTTTGAACGTGTAAGTCAATAGTTCATGTGGTTTCTCTGTTGCATGCTTTCACGAGCTAACAATATATTATCTGATGAGGAAGATACATGTAGTGATTCTTGTCATCTATAATAGGCTATTGAGAGCAATAAAGGGTCTCTGGATCAACTAAAGGCCCTTAATGCTGAACTAGAAAGAGATGTTGAACGTGTCCGCCAAAGAGAAGATCTCTTAGCAAAGGTTTTTTCAGCACCATTTTCTCTTGTCACCAATTGAACAATCAATTTGATCTATGAGTTGATGGATCACACTTATGCTGCCAGGCTGAGTCTATGAAGAAAAAGTTGCCGTGGCTGAAGTATGATATGAAGAAGGCTGAGTACCTAAAAGCCAAAGAGCAGGAGAAGGACTCGAAACTGAAGCTTGATGAAGCTGCCAAGGGTTTGAATAAAATCAAAGAGCCTATCGAGTGAGTTACTCCGCCCAGTAATTTTGAAATTTGTAACAATTAGTTTTCTGTTGGCTATATTTTAATGTTTGTGACCTTGGAAATTTTTATTCTTTCTCTACCGGGCACTGAGCCAAATACATGTACCCTGTTGAGGCTAAATTCACTAATTATCTGACTCCCAATAAATTGTAGACAATTAAAAACTCTTAACTCAACCTCTATTTTGTTCTTATAAAAAAAACCTCTATTTTGTTGCTGATGAATGGCTTGGCGCTAGTTAATTTGAAATAAAATAATTGTTTACAGCTTGGTTTGTATTGCCTAACTAGTTAAAGTTGTATTCGGACATGGTTTATTTTCTAACAAGCTAACAAACAAAATTTGGTCCGTTTATTTTGGTATCTCTGTCTGTAATTTTTTTTTCTTTGTTTACTGGTAGAGTTTGGAATTGGTGAATCATATCACTTTGACTTTCCAAGTCAGGAAATCGAAGTTTTGTTTGTTTCTCAATCAACTAGGACTTGCTTAGTTTGATTATTATCTCTGGTTTTAGGCCCTCATTATTACTTCCAAGTTCTAGTTGCTTCCATTTTTTTTGCCTAATTATTTTGTTTTCCAGGAAACAAAAGGGAGAGAAAGCAAAACAAGAGGCTAAATTGAAAAAGATGAATGGCTTGTCAGACAGCAATATGAAGAAGCGTATGCAGCTTTTGGAGAACTACAACCATATGGTTTGTTGTCGTTACTTCTATTTTTTTTTTTTTGCCTGCATCTCGAAGTTCATGTTTAGTCAACAGTTAATAAACTGTCTAAGTTTTGTCTTTTAACCTTTAGGGAGCTCTAATTGATGGGAAACATAATGAAGTGGAAGACTTGAGGCGCCAGGAAGAATCTCGTCAGCAAAGAATGTCTAAAGCTAAAGAAAGTCTTGCAGCTGCAGAAGCAGAACTTGCAAATCTTCCTCCTTATGAACCTCCAAAGCATCAGATGGTGGGTTTATCTTTCTAAACTGATGATAAATCTCTGGCAATGCCAGATGGCTAAGCTGTATAACCCATTCAGTTACTCCATTAGTATTTATTAGTTATGGACCTTATGGTCAATTACTGACAGACAAATATCATTTTAAGTGCTTGTTGTTGACTTCCTTCAGCTTGTTTTGTTTACAATATCCAGGAACAGTTAAGTGCTAAAATTATGGAGATTGAGGAGACTGCAAAAGAGATGAGATCTCAAAAAAGAGAAAAAGAGCAGCAGCTAAATCATCACAGAAATATCATGATGCAGTGTAATGATAAGTCAGTATCAACTTTGGCCAATTTTATGTTCGCTTATGCATTAGTTTAGTTTAATTGTCATCTTGCTTAATATACCCTTGCATGACCCAAAAGGTTGAGGAACATGGAGAGTGTCAATAATAAGCGTTTACAAGCATTGAAGAATTCTGGTGCTGATAAGATATTTGAGGCTTATCAATTTGTTCAGGAGAACCGGAGCCAGTTCAGAGAGGAAGTTTATGGTCCTGTATTGCTTGAGGTGCACTATATTACTTTTTAGATGTCTTTTTACTATCTATTTCACACCCACTACTTAGTTATGAAATACTGTCTGTACTGCATATTCAGGTCAATGTTGCCAATCGGTTTCACGCAGACTGCCTAGAGGGTCACGTCGCCAATTACATATGGAAGGTAATTCATGGTTTACAGATGTATCATCCAACTTCTTTATTTTCCTATGTCTAAAGCAAGGCAACCGATTTTAATTTTTTGTTCAGTATGTCACAACTTTTACACATCCAACTAAAATTTTCGGTTGTTCAAGCGTGGAAACCCCAGAATGAGAAGCAGTCGAATTAGTTCTTGTAATAATAATAAATGAAAAAAAAATAGAAGTCAATGCTTATCAATCTTGTGGAAATAATGCTCAAAGCATGGAACTAGGTCAAATATTATTCTTTGGAGAAAAATAACCACTGGATTCAAATTCCGATTTTATTTCCGTAATAATGTCTCACTTCTATTTGGGATCAGATCGAATTGTCAACTATTAAAGCACAAGGAGTGTCTAAATTTGAATTGACTAATAATTTTAAGTAAGTTTTTAGTGGGTACAACTCAGTCCCAATTTAGGCTCACCAAAGATACTGGTAGGGACTGCTACCAAGGACATTAATTAAATGCCAGATCGAATAATACATTGACTGCTGCCAAGAAAATCAATATGTTTAACCTTCTAGTTACAAAGATATGTCCTTTTAATGCTACTAGCAAGTACCACGTGCAAAATTGAAGTTTAGGAAGAAATCATGCATTTTCCACTTTTTTCTTCATCGGTTAACTTAGTCATCTCTCTTGTAAACATATTGATTTTCTTTTCCTGGTTGGTTACCTTCTCCAGGCTTTTATTACTCAGGATCGTGAAGATCGTGATTTACTGGTTAAGAAACTGGGGTCATTTGGTGTTCCTGTAATTAATCACGTCCCAAATGAAAGTAGCGGCAGGGATCCCTTTCGAATAACCGATGAAGTATTGTTCTGAATTCATTGAAACTCAGCATTTTGATGTTGTTGATGATTGTCCGATCTTTTATTTGGTTCTGTATTATGCAGATGCGTAAACTTGGCATATCTTCCAGGCTTGATCAAGTGTTTGAAGCTCCCCATGCTGTCAAAGAAGTTTTGATCGGTCAATCTGGATTGGATCGTTCAGTATGCTTACACATTTTTTTTTGTATTCTGTTTAGCCATATAAACTTTTGAGCAGGATTGTAGATTGAAATCTGGATGGTCAATGAAACAAGAGCCTATAGTGATTTTTTTCAACCTGACATTTCTCGTGATTTTGCTGTGCAGTATATTGGGTCAAAAGAAACTGATGAGAAAGCTGATCTGGTCTTAAGATTGGGAATTATGGATGTGTGGACACCAGAAAATCATTATCATTGGGCCAGATCCCGCTATGGGGGTCATGTGTCTGGAAATGTTGAATCAGTGGATCGGTCCCGTCTTCTTCAATGCAGTATGTTTCTGGCAGATTGTTCAGTTGTTTCTCTAACATATTTTAATAGACTTGGTGTTACTTTTTAGGTGAAATTGATTTTTGTGGTGCATGAATTGAATGTTAATATTAACTCTCTGGAGTGTAGGTTATGTCAATTGTGGAAATATTATACTAAGTTCCACGGATTTCTTCTTATTTTAATCTGGAAGAAAATGGATTAATATAAATAATTCTCCTAAGAAAACTCTGCTTTACCGAAGGTCAAAGTTGCTTCTTTATATTAATGCTGAGAATTTGTAAAGTTTCTATGTTGTCTGTTATTCATTTCAGATGTGGACGTTAAGGAAATTGAGAGTGTAAAATCAAGGCAAATAGAGCTCCAGGAGAAAATTTCTGCTATAGATGTAAATTTGAGAGCTCTTCAAATTGCCTTGAGACAGACGGAAGATGAAGCAGCTGAACTAAGGCGTGAGCGGGTAAGTGATTTGAAATTTGAAATCTGGAATCACTGAGTGGGATTGACTGTTTTTGTTGAATAAAACATATTCAAAATCAAGTTTAGCCAGCACAACCTTGATTCACATTGCATATGCTTGAAATTTATTGGTTTGAACCAAACTACACTTGTTATATGATTCTTTTTCACATGTATTGGTTGTTATGGCTGAAATTATCCTATTAATGCATATATTAGATGCAAAGTGTGGGTTTTCATTCATCCTATAGTGGGGAACAATATGTTGTGCTCTTGCATTGTTAACTTGTTGTGCAAGGTGCAAATTCATTATCTCCCTAGGATGTTGAGATTTGTATTTTTCTTGCTGGAAAGTGGGACTTTTATGAATTATTGTCCTCTTTTTTTGGATATTCAAGGTCAAGGATAGGGGATATAAAATATATTTTCGTTCATGTCTTAGTTGGTAACTTCTATTCCCTCTAAAATGACGGGTATCCTAATTAGTAGAGACAACTGCCAATTTGCTGCATGAAAGAATTCAGAGGAAAAATAGTAGTTCATTCATTTGTTAGTTAATGCTGTTGTTTGTAGATTTTGTCGCTCTACGATTAGATACATCTCCGAGCAAACTTTTTACTTCCTATTCCTTTGTAGAATCTAGGGTTTAGGTAAATAAAGCAATAATTCAGGCTATTGTGCTGTATTCTCATGGCTAAAAGCAAAACTCTGCCTCCTGATTTTTTTGTGACAGTGGTAAATGTGTCTTGTGTCTTGTATATGCATGTATACACGTGTGGGTGCGATTGTAACAAATACGCAACCATCATTAGTCTTTGTTGTGCTTTCCTCAGCAATCTTCTAGCTTCTATGAATCAATTTTTAACCAGTTACAAATTTATAATCAAGTCGACAGATGATTTTTTTTCTAAACCAATCGTTCTAAAAGTAGAGCTGTGGGAAGATCACATGTCAAAACAAGCAGTTGGATGTTTTTCCTTTTCATGTGAGGCTCTCTTTTAGCATATTTGTGAACATGGTATGGTAACTATGATAATAACTCAGGACGAGATTGTTAACATCAGTCAAAGCAAGAAGAAGAAATGGAAGGAGTTGGAGAACCTTGTCAGTAAGTAAAATACTGATTCTTCTGGTAGATACACTCTTATTTTTATGAAATATATTGACAGATACGTTTATCTAATTTTAGACCAAAGAAAAATAAAGTTGAACTCTATAAGAAGAGAGGATGATCCTGATGCTGCAATAGCAAAGCTGACTGACAAGGTTAAGGAATTGAAGATGCAGCGGTTCAACTGTGTTATAGAAATTAAAGTGAGGCTCCTTTTTTTTTTTTTCTTAAAGTTCTTTAAATGCTCTTCAGTCAGTTATGAGATGTTGTATTTGCCCTTTTCTAATTCAACATGCTGGTTCGTTGAATCGCTGCTTTGTTTTGATAGAATTTACTTACTGAGGCTGTTGCTTACCGTAGAAGTTTTGCTGAAAAGAACTTGTGCTGCATTGAACTTGAAGCTAAGGTATGATTCACTTGTTGATTTTTAATATCTGGGCCTCAGTCTTTCATGATCTCTCATACAGAAAAAAATCTCAAATGTTGTTAAGAGAATGAAATCTAGAAACTACAAGTTAGTGCTACGTGCAAAAATGTCTGATGTTATTCAATATTTGAAGTAATTTGAGCAGCCACTATGGATTATAAATTTAGTGTTTCTAACAGCTAAGTTTTATTAGGAAAACACCTGGAAATATTAGGAGCCCCTAGCCTTGCTGCCTACATGAACATTTACTAATCCAAGTTCTAGCTGGATATATTAATAATTTTGTAATACATGCTTTAATCACCAATCTATGTTTGTATCTTGTAAGACAAGTGATTATGAGTAGTTTGTATACTTGGTGTGATTTCTCATGTTCATTATTGTTCATCTTTAGAAGGCTCAAATCTTCCCTCAAGAGTCTCCATTTATTGGTTTTATATTTCTCCTAGTGATCAATCTACTTATGTTCCTCTCCTAATTGTACCTTTGACTTCATAAGATCTATATTTGAGTTTATTCTTTCTTTCTTTTTAATTGAATTATTTTCATAGTCATTTCAGTTAACAACTTCCAACAATCAATAAGTGACAACCATAGAATTATACAAACACCAACACTTTTGATGGTTTTGGATCCAAGATCTCATAGTTGTATTGTAGTTCCTCAAAGATGTTTGCAGCAGCAGATGTTATTTTTGTGATAAATTATTCTAGCCACTCAACATGGTCGGTATTGTGATAACTTTCCAGCTAACTGTACAAAAGTCTATCACCCGCATAATGTACTTATAAGATAACTTTCACTTATTCTTGTTCAATTTTTTTGACTTTTTTAGCACGGTGCAATTCTGCTTTAATATTTTGTTTTATTTTTTAGATCAAGGAGATGGAATCCAATGCGAAGGAACAAGAAAAGTTTGCCTTGCAAGCATCCTTACATTTTGAAAACTGTAAGTATTAACTTTCTGCACAATCTGAGTTCTGCATTTCTAAACTTTTGAGCCAAACGCTAATAGTTGCATATTTGTTTTTGTTGTGAGAAAACATCAAATAACTTTTCAAAGCCAGAGTACGATAAGACATGTTATTAAAAGGCCCTTGTTCTAAATAAAAAATAAAAGGACCTAAAAATGGACAGTAATTTCATTGTACAACTGCTTTTTAATTTACTCTTGGACTGGTTCTTCCAATTGTGTTACCAACCCTTAGGCTCTATAATATTTCGAAACTACATGAAAGCTCTTCTTACACTGATTGTTTGTTAAACTGCAAGGGCTCTGCCCCCATTAGTAGTTTCCGTGAGTATTTAAGCTGTGTTTAAAGGGTCAAAACATTTAACGTGTCACTTTGATTGCCTGAAAGAAAGTATATATTCCTGGAATAAATTATAAAAAAAATCCATATAGATCCTGTTTAATTACAAAAAAATCCATCAAACTTTCAAAATCACAGATACCCGTTAGCGTATTACAAATTAGTGAACAACCCCTTGAGGTTTATTTTTGTTTTATAACACCCTCCTCAAGTATGTATTGAGATATTAACGGATTTTTCCTTTAAATAAGTCAAACCTCAAGGGTGAGGTGTTATAGTTTGAAGTACCTGCCTAATAATTCTTGTGACTAGCTATTGCTTAATTGTCTGTACTGTGTACAGTTAGTACGCAGATTTTTTGTTATTTCAGTTGCTTATTTGATTTCCTTGCTTGTTGTTTAGGTAAGAATGAAGTGGAGAATTGCCGACAGCAGCTGGCAGTTGCCAAGCAGCGTGCAGAATCAGTTGCTGCAATTACTCCTGAGCTTGAGCAGGCCTTCCTGAAGGTTTATATTCTGACTCAACTGATGATATTATTATGGAATTTTAGAAATACAATTGTGACTCATGATAGTTTTGTACAAGCATAAACACCTATAGATACAATTGTTTCTACTTTCTTGAATCCCCTTGATTATGGGATTGCCTAATCATCTCTTATATGTTTACGTCAAATCCCCTAAATTAGGGATTGTCTAGTTATCTCCTTAGATTTTGCCACACTCCCTTCAAGCTGGAGAGTAGATGCTTTCCATCCCCAGCTTGGATACAGTTACTTAAGACGCTGCATTGCTTAAACCTCTGGCGAGTGTGCCCTTAAGTTGGCGGTTATTAGATAGATACCTAAGGAGTATAGATCAATCCACTATGTAATTTCTCCTTAATAATGTGCATGTCCATTTTGATGTATTTTTCGAATTACATATCTGTTGTCATAATAAAGTCTTAAGGGCTATCTTAATTAATGTTCAAATCTTCCAGAAAGATCTTCAACCATAGTAGTTCACATGCTCCTTGAGCTATGGCAACTATATTTCAGCACTTGATCTAGCGACCAAATTTTATTTCTTTCTCCAAGTTATGAATAATGGTTGTTATCACATCCCCTAATTTTGTTTTCTAAAGGTACTAGACTTGTATCATGTAATTGTTCAGCTGTTTAAGCTAAAATCTTCTGCTCTTGCATAGCATGCTTTATTATTTTGTCTTTTGTATTCCTGGAGTTTATTAGTGCTCATTACATAAAACTACTCACAGATGCCTACTACTGTTGAGGATTTGGAAGCTGCAATTCAGGATACGATATCCGAAGCCAATTCCATTCTTTTCCTTAACCATAACATTTTGGAGGAATACGAAAGCCGTCAAAAAAAGGTACATCTCTTTCTTTTTTGCTTCGGATAAGCGTGGCTAGTAATGCTTCTTTCTTTCGCTCGTGTTAATACTTATGTTAAGTGGTAAATATGCAGATTGAAGAACTTGAAGATAAGCAAGGAACGAATGAAAGGGAATTGAATACCCGATTAGATGAAATCAATGCTCTGAAGGTTTGAGTCATGGATCATCATTAAAAGTAAAAATGTTGTATATCATTGCATTTCTGTTAATAGTATTCTCCAGTATTCTTACCTTAATAGCTGGTGCTTTTTTTTTTTTTTTTTTTTTCCACATGTCTCAATTTTCAAATTCCTGGTTACTGTGAGATCAATCATCCATCCCAACCCCCTTCCCCCCCCAGCCACCCAAATGATATTTAAAAGACATTATAAGAGATGGGTGGGAACACGAATTACTTTATTACATTCCGTGTGCTTGACAACCGGAACTCCCCACATATTCTGATAGCGAACTGTCTGCAGGAAAGTTGGCTTCCGACATTGAGAACCCTTGTGACCCGGATTAATGAAACTTTTAACCACAATTTCCAAGAAATGGCTGTTGCAGGAGAGGTGTCTTTAGGTATTTGTCACGACTTATTTTCGTTACTCCATCTGAGGTGTCCAGTTAATTGCCATGTTTTAATATCTCATTTGACGTTCTACGAATAATGTATTAATTGGTTATTTTTCAGATGAACGTGATACTGATTTTGATCAATATGGGATCCTGATAAAAGTAAAGTTCAGGTGATTGAATTAACCTTCTACCTCAGTTTTTCTTCAAGCACAATATGTGGTTTCTACATACAAAATGCATATTTTTGTGAAGTGGGCTATTGTTTCTCTTGATGCTTAGGTTTATTCTGACCCAAAAATGTGGTTCATATGCATTCAAGCATAAACTTATGTGTTGGATTATTTTCGAGCCAGGAATTGTACTTCTCTATTGGTCTCTCGTATCTTTGGCTTTATCTTTATTTTGTTTTGTTTTAATGTAAGTTTATGGCTCCACTGTCACTACCAGGCAAACAGGGCAGCTTCAGGTTTTAAGTGCTCACCACCAATCTGGAGGGGTAAACTGCCTTGACCGATATTTCTTATGTACAATCATTTCTCTTCGCAGCTTCTAATTCTTTACAAACCTGGTTTTATAGGAACGCTCGGTTTCGACCATTTTGTACCTCGTCTCTTTACAAGACCTTACAAACTGCCCGTTTAGGGTAGTTGATGAGATAAATCAAGGTTGGTTTGATTGTATGATCCTCAACGTTTCAATAAATGGTTGCTTTTATTGAATTGAAACAATATCATCAGTATTTTGTTTTGTCTCCCAGGCATGGACCCAATAAACGAGAGAAAAATGTTTCAGCAGTTGGTCAGAGCAGCGAGCCAGCCAAACACGCCTCAGTAAGAGATCACGATTTTAGATCATTGATTTGGCTACCGAATGCACTTCTTTACCAATATTAGTTAGTTGTTTTAGGTTTATAAATGGCAATTGCATCCGTTTTACATTGTGGACTGGAGCTTATGTTGGAATTCCTATATACGAACTATTCATGCTTTTCCATGCGTACGAGTTACAAAACATGTAGTAAATGAATCACATTTTGGTCTCATATGCAGGTGTTTCTTGCTTACCCCAAAACTGCTGCCAAATCTAGAATACAGTGATGCATGCAGCATTCTTACTGTGATGAATGGTCCTTGGATCGAGCAGCCATCGAAAGGTTTGCCAATCAAGTCTCGGTTCATGAATAAATTCTGCTATTTGGTATTTTATTGATCTCTCTCATAAAGCGACATTTTTTTCTTTTTGCCAATTTGCAGTGTGGAGTGGTGGTGAAAACTGGGGATCTATCATAACAGCAACGGCAGAAAACCGCTGCTAAAGGGCCGTCGTACCATGGTCCGTTGTGAAATAGCCTAAATTCTCATTTGTTCATAAATATAGACACAGAACATTATCGGTTCTTCTCGAAGAGCCGAAGTATTAAATCATTATTTTTGATGTATGATATTTTTCTGTGCCTTGTACATTAGAATACACCTTTGGCCGTCATTTACGGCGCGTCAACAAAATACACTCTCATGTAACACCAAGTCCCTCCATCTATTTGACCATTGATAACTAACAGTCTAACGGTCAAATTTGAGTTTTTATTTGAGCAAAATGCAATAAGACCCCTATATTATTTTGAATTGCCAACAAAGTTCTTATCTAAAATTAAGTACGAATCACCTCCAATTCTTTAAACAAACTCAATTCATGATTTTAAACCCTAATTTAACCCAAATTTTACCGATTCGTCAATTTTTACTGTGGCCACTCATTTCGTTTTTTTCCGAATCATGACAAATTGTTGTATCCATCTTGGAATTTACACTATCAACATCAAGAATTTGCAGACAGCACATTTTTTTTTTCAAATTTGAGTAAATGAAAATAAATATAATTTAATAATCATGCCGATATTGAGCATTAGAGATTTGAAAGAAATATATTATGATTCAAATTTCAAATGTAGACACAACTTAATCACATCAAAAAACAAAATTTAACATATTTTGGGAACTTGAGAGCTTCACCACTAATTTTGGCAGAGGAAAAAGGCTCATTAAATCTCCTTTTTTTTTTTTTTTTCGTCTACGTTCCTATTCTACACTACCATTTTTTGAAAATCAGAAGCTCGAGTTAATTCAACAAACGAGAAAGACTTTACAAGTGTTATGTATAGCCCAGAAAGCATTTCAAGAAAGCTTGTAATCAAGCATATCTCTAATGTTTAACCGAATCGACGGCCCCATTGAAGAGCATATATGCGCACTTTTCCAGTACACACCTTTTGCCCCCGATGGCTTGTTCGAGTCTACTGATTTCTGCAGTATTCAAAAACATTTCAATTAACATGCATTTTATTTAAGACACAGAGCATCATAGCTCATAAATATTTAATTTAGTAGGAGAATAAAAAACGAACGAATTCCACAGCTTACCACAGCAGCAAGAAAGTTAATCATAAGATCTTCCTCTGAAAAATCTGCCTTCCCAAAAGGTAAGTGAACAATCCCGGTTTTATCAGCTCTGAATTCGACTTTCCCTTTCTTGAATTCCGCTATAGCCTGCAGTCGATATTCTTCCAATTTCATCAAAAAAAAAAAAATCAAGAAAAACCAACTGTACGACGAGAGGAGTAGTAGTATACGAGACTCTACCTGTGGTATGTTCGTAGTCACTGTACCAGCTTTAGGGTTTGGCATCAGTCCTCTCGGTCCAAGAATTTTTCCTAGACTTGCAACCTAAAAAAAAAAAAAGAACGGAATGTATAAGTAGCTGCTCTAAAAACGGAATGTATAAGTACCATACGGAAGGCAGCTAAGTATACCTTAGGCATCATATCCGGTGTAGCAATTAATTTATCGAAATCCATAAATCCTCCTTTTATCTGTTCTATCAAATCCTCTCCACCAACTATATCTGCTCCTGCAGTTTTCGCCTCGTCGAACTTTTCACCTACAGAAGAGGATGCAACACAAAAAATGAGGTTGTAAAAAATAATCACGAGAGAAGGAACGAGACCCATAAACATATTTTCGCCGTATTATCAATAATAATAATATTTTGATTGCACAAAAATGTGTAACACGAGGGAAGGGATATCGAAGATCGGTCAAATCGGGATTGACTTTACAAATTACCTTGCGTAAGAACAGCAACTTTAATAGTTTGACCAGTTCCCTTGGGAAGATTTACCTACAATAAAATTACTTGCATCAGCCCTTACCCACACCATAACAGCTCGAAACTCAAAACCCCTATTGACGAAATAATAATATCGAGAAAGCTTACAGTTGCCCTCAGTTGTTGATCGTTATACTTCGGGTCAATGTTGAGGCGGAAATGCGCTTCAACCGATTCAACAAACTTCGTGCTTGTGGTTTGCTTGAGCAATGACATTGCTGTTTTCAGGTCGTACTCCTGTTTGTTTTCTCTCAGGCTTTGAATTTCCAGAAATCTCTTCGACCTTGTCTGTCGATTGCAATGAAAAATGAATGACATTTGGAGTGGGATAAGTTAAACGAAGGGGCAGCAAGATGTCTAAATTTCTTTGAGAGCTTAGAAAAACACAACTATATTAAATGTCCCGAAAAAAAAAACGAACACATAAAGAAACTAGCTTTCGCGAAGTGTATTCTCGTATAAATACATCAGTGTTTCCCCTTAAGCAATGCCCTCGCCTCCACTATCACAAGACTACTATCAAAAGCAACGAAGCGGGAATAAGAACATCAAGTTGGAGGGTTCCTTTTGCTTCGAACATAATACGATCGTGATACAACTTTAGACTAATAACGACAAACGATACTCTAAATCGAGGGAATTCCAAATGTTAAATGAAATTAAAACAAGAATATGATTTTCAAATATTCTATTTAATATATCAGATTAAAAAGTGTGACAGAATGAAATTAACTAGTAAACCTCGAAAACATGAGGGCAAGCAGAGTAGGCATATTTACAAACACCTAGTAAACAACACCTACAAAGAAAACATACTTTCGTAGTCTTTCGGTAACATCGAAATTTACGAGCTTCCGGGACGGGACATAAACTAAATAATCAAGCAAATCCCGTTTACCATCACACAGAAACATATCAAAAACACAGACCAAAGTTTACAATAAAGAAAAAAAAGAATTAAAAATAAAATCTTTTTACTAAAAACATACTCTGTCCCTCTTCAAAGGCAAGGCAGCCTTGCCTTTCTTGGGCTTCGTGGCAACGGCAACACCGCCGCCGCCGCCAACTTGCTCCTCTTCCACGGCGTCTTCCTCCAGCTCCGCCTCGGCCAGAGCGGCGGAGACGATTGATTTCGACAAGCGTCCATTTTCAGATGCTCTGTTGCACTGCAGAACCAATGGGTAGAAGGAGAAATTGTTCGCGGCCGGAGTGAAGAAGAGAGGGTTTTCTTTGGTGGGCTTCCTGAAGGAGAGGGAAAATGTGGTGGCGGAGGAGCGGTGGAGGTCTTGGGGGTGCGGTGGGGGGAGGCTGAGAGTGGAGGGTGCAGCAGCAGAAGCCATTGTTTGAGTTTCTGAGTGAATTTTTTTGTGATGGCTGTATCTATCTATAAATTGCCTATCCAAATGAAAAGATGATAAGGCTGTCAATTACAGGGGCAGTTTTGTCAATTATGTTATTTCCAATATTGGACCAGTAAAAAACATAATTATATTTTTTTATATTAATTTTCTTTTTTATATTTTTTAGGGGAAACTACAGATAAATCCCTAATTCAAAACTCAACATACAGATCAGTCCCTAGGTAGTTTCCCCAAGCAATTCAGTCCCTACTCACACGCCTAACATGCAGTTCAGTCCCTAATAAAATGTGTAAATACTAAAATACCCTTTACTTTATACTAATTTTACATAACTTATTTCCAACCTCCAACGCGCCGTTTGTGTTACACGCTCTTTGCCCGTTACATTTCAAAAATCAAACAATAAGAAAGAAGCTAAAAAGGCGCAGGAAAAAAACCACCGTTCAGTTTATACCCATTCACAGACAAAGAAGAAACATAGAAGAAACGAAGAACAAAGAAACAACAAAGAAGGAAGAAACAAAGAAGCACGAAGAATCAACAAAACGCATAAAAATTATAAAACGAAAGGAAAAATAAAAATAAACAAACCCATTTCTCGACAATGGTGAAGCAGGGTAAACAACAAGGTTTGATTTTTTTTTTCTTTCATTTTCTTGGAAACAGACCCATTTGGGTGTTGCTTAAGCTTGCAAAAAGGTTTATTTGTTGTAGAATTGCATGATTTTGAACATATCCTCTCATGGGTATTATGCCTCGACTTTATTCGGTGTTTTCCCTAATCATTAAATCGGTTCCAATATCTGTTTTTCTGTTGTTTGGGTTTGGAAAGATCATTTATTTGTTGTCGAATTTCATGATTTTGTAACAGTTTCCTCATGGGTATTATTCTTCGGTGACATTAGCATGTCCCCAAAGCATTTTGAGTTCTAACAAGGGTTTCATATAGGATATGGGAAAGAGGCTTATTGTATTTTTCGTACTGGTTCTATAGTATGTGTCATGCGCAGTAATGGTATTAATAGTGCATTTAGATGGTATTGACATAGGGTACTCGAAGTACTGTCCCGAAAGCATTTAGTCCCAACAAGGGATATGTCATATGTAATAATGGTATTGCTCTTGACTTCGGACGGTATTAACACAGGGTACTAGAAGTATAATCTTTGATGGTTCTGTAGTATGTGTCATATGCCACAATAGTATTACTAGTGCCTTTGAATGGTATTACTAGTGACTTTGGATGGTATTGACATATGGTACTAGAAGTATAATGTTTGATGGTCCTGTAGTATAAGTCATATGCCATAATAGTATTACTAGTGCCTTTGAATGGTATTACTAGTGACTTTGGATGGTATTGACATGTGGAACTTTATAGTACGTTGTATTTGTTATAATTGTAGTTTTATGTGTATGTAATTGCAGGAATTGATGTAAAAGAAGATTGCAGAAGCTATCAATAGGCTGCAGGTGCTCACCGATCGCTTTTCAAACAACCAAGGAAGGTGTGAAAAAAGTGATGAAGAAACAACATTATGAAGTACTGAAGAAAAATCTCTTCTATCACTACATGGACATGCCTAAAATAAACCACAGCTTCCATAGGGTTGCGTCTCTCATGCAAGCGTACAATGTAAAAGATCGGGTCTTCTGGTTTGGGAAAAATACTATACGCTTGGAAGTGTTTTGGGGTTTTTGTGTTTTTTTGTAATTAATGAACAGATGAATGTGGTTTTGTGCCATAAACAATCTGTCATTTTGTTGTAGAGCTAATAATACTATTGATTAGCTCTCTTCGTACTTTTCCATTGTATCCATTGTACTATATGTTTCGATGAAATGTACTTACCTTTTGAACACATGATACTTTATTTTGCGATTAATTAGTTTGTATAAAGAATATAAGCGTACCATAAAAATGAGCAACAAATACTTTCTAGTCTATTCGAAGATACCTTGTCAACACTAGACTTGTACTTACTTGATGAACAAAGCGTACTTCACATGTGTATTCACGAAAAACTTACCATAAACTGAAGAATTGTGTCTATTCATTCTTAATAGTCTTAAAATGAAGAGCTATGTCTTAAAATGCGATCATATGGATGCATTGGCCCCACAATAATATATAGATTGTAACAATAATATATGAATGGCAAACATATACTTTATCAATCAACAAAGCGTACTATAGTCACGAATCAATTGTACTTCACATGTGTATTCATTGTACTTACTTGATGAACAAAGCGTACCATATTTTTTGATGAATTGAATTGTACCAATTTCATTGACGCTTTAATGATCAATAAGTACGGGAGATGCATAAATTATGTTTTAGATGATTATTTTAAGGTAGGTGAGCATTATTGTTGCGTTTGGAATACAAGATCCCATAAATATGTTGAATTTCATACATGATACTCATATACTATACAATATATTCATACAAGTCTACAATGCTCAAGTGTAAAACTAATATTTTCCTCAATTCTTACCATAATCGATATTGATTGACTCCCACATTGTCTCCATTCATTCTTAATAGTCTTAAAATGAAGAGTTGTGTCTTAAAATGCGATCATATTGATGCATTGGCCCCACAATAATATATAGAGTGTAACAATACTATATGAATGACAAACATATACTTTATCAGTGAACAAAGCGTACTATAGTCACGAATCACTTGTACTTCACATGTGTACTCATTGTACTTACTTGATGAACAAAGCGTACCATATTTTTTGATGAATTGAATTGTACCAATTTCATTGACGCTTTAATGATCAATAAGTACGGGAGATGCATAAATTATGTTTTAGATGGTTATTTTAAGGTAGGTGAGAATTATTATTGCGTTTGGAATACAAGTGTAGACGAGTGAAATTTAATCCAAAACAAAGGGGCAATTATGCAATTATGGGGGCAAGGAGTTTCATGCAAACTCATTCGCAGTTCCGTAATTAGATATTTGAAAATAAATCAAATCAAAATTGCATGCCATGAAAGGTGGCGTATATCAATATTTCTCTATTTTAATTCTAGGGATTTAATATTGATTCCTAAATTAAATAGATAATTGATTTTAAATATATATATTGACCAATAGGATTATTTCTTCTCCCTCAAGTTACAAGAGATAAATATCAATTTAAATCGGGCCAATCAAACCGCGCCACGTCATCAGTAAGGCCCATCAAGGACTCTTATTCTACCACTATAAATAGGGACCCTCCCTTCACAATTCAAAACACAACTGAAGGAGCAGAAACCGTAGGAGCAAAATTCTCTCTACAATTCAAGAAGCAAGGAAGAAGAATTCGTAGGAGGTAAGATTCTCTCTCTACATTCAAAGTGTTCTTCGTCTACATTCAAAGTGTTCTTGAGCAAATTCAAGGCATTCTTCATCAAAATCTAGCGTTCGATCCGAGATAACGGTGCCAAACCTTCGAATTAACGTTAATCAATTCAAGTCAAGATCACTGGAAGATTGAAGGGCCAAATCCATCAAGAATTTCAAGATCTTCAAGTCAAATCAAGTCAAAGTTCAACGTTCGATCCGAGATTCAAGTCGCAAGACCCTCGGAAAACGTTATTCAAATCCAAAATCAAATCCGGAGAAGATCAAGTCAACGACCCGACTCCGAAAATTCAAGTCAACTATATATTGTTCTAGAGAGAAGAATCAGAGGATTAAAATAGAGATTGTAACCCGCAATTTATTTATTTTAATTCAATAAAATCATCTTTGTTCAATTTTTCTTGTTTGTTTATATCGCAGATAAGAATTTGTTGTTACAAATTTTGGCACGCCCAGTGGGACCTCTCTACCTCTCATCTCTTCTCTCTCTCTCAAAGATCCTAGTAGCTGTTCTACGTTCACGATGAAGGCTGCTACTTCAAATTCATCAAGCATGGGCGTAGTTACAAGGAGTATGGCTAAGAAACTGCAGACATCCTCCGAGACTAGCTCAACGCCCCAAGTCATCGAAGAAGGCTCGTCACCTCTCGTCAACATAGGTGGAGGCGTGGAAGGATCTAGAGGAGAAGCTTCATCATCCACGTCCCTTTGAGCATCAAACTACTCTGAAGTGGCTCCCGTCATGACGACACATGCTACGACCATGGAGGAGCAAATGGCGATCTTGACAAAGGCCATTGAAGGGTTAACAAAGCACATTCAAGAACAAGACTCCCAAATCGCGATGTTGCGGGACAAGGTTGACGGTAGTCACGACATGGGAAAACAAGGCGAAAATCACACCGAAGCTGAAACTTCTGCAAGGCGACATCCAATCGAAAGGGAGAAGAGCCCGGCTGAAGAATTCCAGGTTTCGTCAGAGGGGTTGATTCCTATAGACCAATTGAAGGAGTTCATCATGGGGACTATCAAAGACAAATTCAATGAGGGTTCAAAATCGTCATCAACATATACCAAGCCATACACTCTAAGAGTAGACGACTTGAAGATGCCAATTGGTTACCAACCCCCGAAATTTCAGCAATTTGATGGCAAGGGTAACCCAAAACAGCATGTGGCACATTTTGTTGAAACTTGTAACAACGCCGGGACTTTCGGAGACTATCTCGTTAAACAATTCGTCCGATCGTTGAAGGGGAATGCTTTCGATTGGTATACGGACCTAGAACCGAACTCAATTGACAGTTGGAGTCAGATGGAACAAGAATTTTTGAATCGCTTCTACAGCACCCGAAGAACAGTGAGCATGATCGAGCTCACAAACTCTCGCCAGTGGAAAGAAGAGGCCGTCATTGACTATATTAACCGCTGGAGGAATTTAAGCCTGAATTGCAAGGACCGATTGTCAGAGGCTTCAGCTATCGAGATGTGCATTCAAGGAATGCAATGGGGACTCCGATATATCCTGCAAGGGATTCAACCTAAGAGTTTTGAAGAGTTGGCCACTAGAGCGCACGATATGGAGTTGAGCATTATGGCTAGTGGAGTTGAGGGACCACCAGTTCAAGAGCCTCGACAGTCGAAAGAAAAACAGGACTTTCGGAAGGTGGGTAGAGTTTTCTCTAAGACCTCAAGCAAAGAATCTTTGGCAGTGAATGCGACCCCTATCAAATTTCAAGGAAAAGTGAACGGAAACAATGAGGAAAAACAAGATTTTTCCCAAGAAAGAAGAAGACTTACTCTAAAAGAAATGCAAGCAAGGGAATATCCATTCCTCGACACTGATGTGGCTGGAATATTTGACGATTTGCTAAGTTTAAAACTTATCGAATTGCCTGAAATGAAGCGCCCCGAAGAAGCTAACAAAACCGATGACCCAAAATACTGCAAGTATCATCGGTTGGTCGGGCACGCAATTCATGATTGCTTCGTATTCAAAGACAAAATTATGCAGCTAACTCGCCAAGGAAAGATATCACTTGAAGAGATCAGCGCCAATACAAATTTTATCGTCAGCAGTTTTGAGTCCCTTGACATGACGACAACAAACGTACACGAAGGAGATGATGATCATGTTAACATCTCATGCAACACGATAATTGAAAAGGAGATCGCTGCTAGTGGAACAACTCCGTCTTCAAATGAGGTTTGTACCGTGATTGTTAAATGCATGTCAACAATGACTTTCGCTGATGAAGATTTACTTCTTGGTTCCAAACCACACAATAGGCCATTGTTTGTTGCCGGCTATGCTCGTGAGCAGAAGGTGAATAGAATTTTAATCGATGGAGGTTCTGCAGTCAATATTTTGCCGTTGCATACTTTAAAGGAATTGGGGATCTCCACGGAGGAGCTCAAAACTAGTCGCTTGATGATCCAAGGATTTAATCAAGAAGGACAAAGGGCCCTTGGTATCATAAGGATAGAGTTGTTAATGGATGATATGTTGTCCACCGCACTGTTCCATGTCATTGATGCAAGAACCTCATATCGCATGCTTCTCGGGCGACCTTGGATACATGAAAATAGTGTGGTTCCTTCTTCTTGGCACCAATGTTTCAAGTACTGTCGAGACGGAGTAGTTAAAACAATACTCGCCGATGATAAACCGTTCACCGAGGCAGAAGCCCACTTTGCCGATGCTAAGTACTATCTTGATGATGAGAAGACGGTAAAGGCCAAAGAAATTCTACCAGTTGAAGAACCAAAGCGAAGAAATAATCAAGACAAGGCTCCTTTAGCGTGTGAGGCTTTGAAAGATTTGATGTTTCCCTTAACACCAATTGACGAGAAGCGATCAACTTCTCAACCACCTAAAGGATTTGTTCATCCCACAGAAGAAACCCAAGAGGAATGCGAAGAATTCTCCGAGTCCCAAATGACAAAATGCTTTGGCCCAAATGCTTATAAACTCTTAGTGAAAGCTGGTTTTAACCCACATGAAGATTCTACGCTTGGAAGGCTTCCTGCCGAAGTTGCTGGCGAAAAGGTGCATGGCCTCAATACTACTCAAATAATGTTGAAAGAAAAAGGACATGCTATTCAAAGTCCTCGAGTTGGTCTTGGATTTGTTCCTCAAAAGCCAATTCGTATTGCTATCAATAGAGCTACCAGTAATTACATAATCGAAGACGAATTCTCATCAACAGACGATTTTCTTGAAAGTGAGACAAAAGTGAGAAGGACATCCGTCTTTGATAGGCTTACACCATCTGTCTTCGATAGACTTGCGCCATCCGTCTTTGATAGACTTGGACCACTTAGAGAGTGGGGGCATAAGAAATGCGACAAACGAGGGTTTGATAGACTTACGCCATCCGTTTTTGATAGGCTTGGACCACTTAGAAAGTGGGGGCATAACAGAAGCAACAAGCAAGAGTTGGGTGTCTCTAATACTAAAATCACCAAAACACGAAGGGTTCGAAGTTCGATTCCATCTCGCATGAAACGACGTACTTATTTAACCATATCATGTGGTGAAGAGTTGAAGGCTAAAATACGAACCGTCGTCTTTACAAAAATCCAAGACGGCGAGGAAGATGACAGAGAAAGTGTGGCATCATCGTATCATATCACTTTAACTGAGATAGACGTGATTGAGGAAGAAGACGCTGAAATTGCTCCACCCGAGCTTGAAGAAGGAGTCAAAGCCACCATCGATGAGTTAAAGGAAATTAATTTAGGAGATGCGGAGAATCCTCGACCAATCTACATTAGCGCTTTACTGGCTGTCAATGAAGAGGAGACTTATGTTGAATTGTTGCACGAGTTCAAGGATGTGTTCGCATGGTCTTATAAAGAAATGCCCGGATTGGACCCAAAAGTGGCAATACATCATCTCTCCGTGAAGAAAGGAGCTCGCCCTGTGAAGCAAGGCCAACGTAGATTTAGACCTGAATTAGTCCCTGCAATTGAGGCTGAAGTGAACAAACTTATTGAAGTTGGTTTCATTCGAGAAGTCAAGTACCCAACATGGATTTCAAGTATCGTCCCTGTTAGAAAGAAGAATGGACAAATTCGTGTGTGTGTTGACTTTAGAGATTTGAACGAAGCATGCCCTAAGGACGACTTTCCAATGCCAATAGCCGAACTAATGATTGATGCTACTACGGGCCACGAAGCATTATCATTTATGGATGGATCGTCCGGATACAATCAAATACGAATGGCGCCAAGAGATGAAGAATTAACAGCCTTTCGCACTCCTAAGGGCATCTATTGCTATAAAGTGATGCCATTTGGCTTGAAAAATGCCGGTGCTACATACCAAAGAGCCATGCAGAAGATATTTGATGACATGCTCCATAAAGATGTTGAATGTTATGTGGATGACTTGGTGGTTAAATCCAAAAGAAGGGAAGATCATCTCCAAAATTTGAGAAAAGTCTTCGAGCGCTTGAGAAGGTACCAATTGAAGATGAATCCATTGAAATGTGCATTTGGTGTTACTTCGGGAAAGTTTCTTGGATTCGTAGTTCGTCACCGAGGCATAGAAATCGAACAAGCCAAGATTGATGCAATTTTAAAGATTCGCGAGCCTAGGAACATTCATGAGCTCAAAAGTTTGCAAGGAAAGTTGGCATATCTAAGAAGGTTCATTTCAAACTTAGCCGGTCGATGTCAACCATTCAGCCGACTTATGAAGAAAGATGTTCCCTTTGAATGGGATGAAGCTTGCACTAGTGCCTTCGAAAGCATAAAATCGTATTTAACGAAGCCTCCTGTGTTGATTGCACCAGTGCCCGGACGATCGTTAATACTCTATATTGCTGCTCAAGATCGATCTGTCGGCGCTTTACTAGCCCAGGAGAATGATGATGGAAAAGAGAGCGCCTTATACTACTTGAGTAGAACAATGACACCAAATGAATTGAACTACTCACCAATCGAAAAGACATGCTTAGCGCTCATTTTTGCAATTCAAAAGTTGAAGCATTATTTTCAAGCACATGTTGTTCGTCTGATCTCAAGGATGAATCCTCTAAAGTATGTCATGTCAAAACCCGTCCTATCCGACAGACTCGCAAGGTGGTACCTGCAATTGCAGCAATTTGACATAACATATATTCCACAAAAGGCTGTGAAGGGACAAGTTCTCGCCGATTTCTTGGCGGATCACCCTATCCCTGCAGAGTGGGAGCTATCCGACGATTTACCCGATGAAGATGTTCTTGTGATTGAAGTTAGTCCTCCCTGGAAGATGTACTTTGATGGAGCTTCACACAGAGAAGGAGCTGGCGCAGGAGTAGTTTTCATCACACCCAACGGCGAAGTGTTGCCTCACTCTTTTACCTTAACACAAAATTGCTCTAACAATGTTGCTGAATATCAAGCTCTTATCCTTGGGCTAGAAATGGCAGTTGATATAAAGCAACTAAATTTGGAGGTATATGGAGACTCCAAGTTGGTGATCAATCAAATACTCGGATCGTACGAAGTAAAGAAGCTCGATTTACTCCCTTATGTGGATTATGCTAAAAAACTTATCGGATACCTTGGTAATGTGACGATAGAGCATGTGCCAAGAAAAGATAACAAACAAGCAGATGCATTGGCAAAACTTGCTTCTACTTTAGCCATGCCCGAAGACGGAGCTCGTATATCAATTTTCAAGAGGTGGGTCGTACCACCAATTTTTGAACACGAAGAAATTGAAGAAGACGAAACTCGAGTGGTTTACGTGTTTGAAATCGAGAAAGAAGATTGGCGTCAATCGTTTGTGGATTACTTGAAGTACGAAAAGTTGCCTAATGATCCACGTCAAAGGGTTGATATTCGACGTCGTGCGGCTCGTTTCATCTACTATAAAGATACACTTTATAGACGTTCATTTGATGGAGTCTTCTTGAGATGTTTAGGTGATGACGAAGCCGTTCAAGCCATAGAAGAAGCTCATTCCGGAGTTTGCGGCGCCCATCAGTCAGGACCCAAGCTACATTTCCGAATAAAAAGAATGGGCTATTATTGGCCATCTATGGTGAAGGACTGCATGGAGTATGCCCAAAAATGCCAACCTTGTCAATTTCATGCAAACTTTATTCATCAACCGCCGGAGCCATTGCACCCTACTGTTTCCTCATGGCCCTTTGATGCTTGGGGTTTGGATGTGGTTGGACCTATGACAAAGTCTTCAGCTGGACATCTCTATATCTTGGCAGCAACAGACTACTTTTCCAAATGGGCTGAAGCAGTGCCTCTTCGAGAAGTAAAGAAGGAGAACGTTGCTGATTTCATCCGCATCAACATCATCTACCGTTACGGAGTTCCTCGATATGTGATCACAGACAACGGAAAGCCATTTTGCAACAGTGTGATAGATAAACTTTGTGAAAAGTTTGGCTTCAAGCAAAGAAAGTCTTCGATGTACAACGCTGCCGCCAATGGACTCGCCGAGGCCTTCAACAAGACTTTATGTAATTTGCTGAAGAAAGTGATCGCCAAGTCAAAACGCGATTGGCACGAAAGGATGGGAGAAGCTTTATGGGCTTATAGAACAACATATAGAACACCTACTCAAGCCACTCCATATGCGTTGGTGTACGGTGTGGAAGCGGTCTTACCTCTTGAAAAACAAATTCCATCATTGAGGATAGCTATACAAGAAGAACTCACTCAAGAAGAAAATGCCCGTTTGCGTCTTGCAGAATTGGAAGCTCTTGACGAGAAAAGATTAGAGGCACAACAAAGTATTGAATGCTACCAAGCTCGTCTTTCTAGGGCGTTTAACAAGAAGGTGCGGCCAAGATCGTTTCAAATTGGAGATTTGGTGCTTGCCGTAAGGAGGCCCATCATCGTCACTCATAAAACGGGAAATAAATTTACTTCAAAGTGGGATGGTCCTTATGTCGTCAAAGAAGCATACACAAACGGAGCGTACAAGTTGGTTGCCGAAGATGGTTTAAGAATTGGCCCGATAAATGGAAAGTTCTTGAAGCGGTACTATGCATGAAGCGGAGGAGAAGGCTCCTGGCCCGCATGAGTTGAAACTGTGCACGGCTAAAAAAAAAAAAAAAAAAAAAAATCTATCTTTTTTTCCTTTGAACTACGTTATGACTTGATCCCACTCGGGGTACGTAGGCAGCTTAGATATTCTCTAAGTTCAGCCCTTTCCTAAAAAAAAAAAAAAAAAAATAAATCTATCTTTTTTCCTTTGAACTACGTTATGACTTGATCCCATTCGGGGTACGTAGGCAGCTTAGATATTCTCTAAGTTCAGTCCTTTCCTAAAAAAAAAAAAAAAAATCTATCTTTTTTCCTTTGAACTACGTTATGACTTGATCCCATTCGGGGTACGTAGGCAGCTTAGATATTCTCTAAGTTCAGTCCTTTCCTAAAAAAAAAAAAAAAAAAATCTATCTTTTTTCCTTCGAACTACGTTATGACTTGATCCCATTCGGGGTACGTAGGCAGCTTAGATATTCTCTAAGTTCAGTCCTTTCCTAAAAAAAAAAAAAAAAAAAAAATCTATCTTTTTTCCTTTGAACTACGTTATGACTTGATCCCATTTGGGGTACGTAGGCAGCTTAGATATTCTCTAAGGTTTCCACCGGGCAAATTGAAGGGCATTTCCTTGCTAGATGACAAAAAACTAAAGGTGTTTGCCTCGCAGAAGGCATTGAAAAAAACGGAAGCGACTTGTCTCACTTTGAGAAAGGTTAAGTTGCTTGCAAAAGAAAGGGTGACAACGGCCTTGAAGCGTGATCAATCTGTGGAGAAGAGAACAAGAGCCTTGAAGAGAAGTCAGCAGACGAGCCTACGGTAAAGCATGAGAAGATGACGAAGAGATTAACAGCATGAGAGAAGAAAGCCTCGAACAAAATGATTAGCCTGCGCCGGCAAAGTGGTGAATCATCTATGTACCGCTTGTGGTGAGGCGCCAACTTTGGAATATTTGCACGAAGAAGCTCGCTTGTGGTGAGGCACCTAACTTTGGAATATTTGCACGAAGAAACTCGCTTGTGGTGAGGCCCTAACTTTGGAATATTTGCACGAAGAAACTCGCTTGTGGTGAGGCACCTAACTTTGGAATATTTGCACGAAGAAACTCGCTTGTGGTGAGGCGCCCAACTTTGGAATATTTGCACGAAGAAACTCGCTTGAGGTGAGGCGCCCGACTTTGGAATATTTGCACGAAGAAACTCACTTGTGGTGAAGCGCTCAACTTTGGAATATTTGCACGAAGAAACTCGCTTGTGGTGAGGCGCCCAACTTTGGAATATTTGCACGAAGAAACTCGCTTGTGGTGAGGCGCCCGACTTTGGAATATTTGCACGAAGAAACTCGCTTGAGGTGAGGCGCTCAAGTTTGGAATATTTGCACGAAGAAACTCGCTTGTGGTGAGGCGCCCAACTTTGGAATATTTGCACGAAGAAACTCGCTTGTGGTGAGGCGCCCAACTTTGGAATATTTGCACGAAGAAACTCGCTTGTGGTGAGGCGCCCGACTTTGGAATATTTGCACGAAGAAACTCGCTTGTGGTGAGGCACCCAACTTTGGAATATTTGCACGAAGAAACTCGCTCGTGGTGAGGCACCCAACTTTGGAATATTTGCACGAAGAAACTCGCTCGTGGTGAGGCGCTGTATGAAAATACTTGCTTGTGGGGATGATCAATTAGGAGAGCGCCCTCATTCATGGACCGATGCTCGACGTCAGTGATTCTTCTATAAAAGGCGGACTCGTGACATCTTTGTGCATCGCCTGTCAGGATGGCATCACCTCTTTGATATAAAGTAGATTATGAAAGCACAGTCATCACTTCTTTGAAGCACAACCATCACTTTGCATATTTACTATCAAAGGGGCATGACAGTCCGGAGCACGCCTTCATTCGTGGATTGACGCTCGAGGACTCTTCTTTATAAAGTGGATGTGTGGAAAGCTTCGCATATCGACCATCCGGGGGCAAGCACAGTCAAAAGCGCTCATATGTTTATGGATTGATGCTTGTTGTCAAGGAATCACCGACTGTTGAAAGAATGCCCATGCTCGTGAATCAACGCTCTTCCTCAAGAATCAACAACTGTTGAAAGAATACCTATGCTCGTTGATCAATGCTCGTCCTTGAGAATCACCAGCCGTTGAGAGAATGCGCCTATGCTCATGAATTAATGATCCTCGAGAATCACCAAGCTTTGAGAGAATGCCTTTGTCTATGGTTCGTACGCCCGCCGTCAATGAGAATCACCAACTGTTGCGAGCCACAAGACGAGTATGTACCCTTGAAGTAAAACCATCGGAAAATTTGTAACAACAAATTCTTATCTGCGATATAGACAAACAAGAAAAATTGAACAAAGATGATTTTATACAAACAAAACAAAAAAAGAGCGGGGGCAAGGAACCGTGCTAAAATCAAATATTCTACCAGTTTTCGTACCGAATCTTTCGAGTTGCGAAACCTACATGAATGAGGAAAAGAGGGTTTAGTTTCGATGGGTGGAACTAATCTGGAATCGAGCAAAAAAAAAAAAAAAAAAAAAAAAAAAAAAGTAAGAGCAGTTCTCATCGTCAAATCATCGAACACCTGGTGGACGCGCTAAAGAAAACTGATTATGCAGAAATTTGATAAAATAAGCTTACCCGAAATTCAGAAGAACCCCCGTAAAAAAAAAAAAAAAAAAAAAAAAAAAAAAAAAAGAGAGAAAAAGGAAGGACTAAATTCGATATTGCCGAAAATTCTTCTACAGAAGACTTGACGACCGAATATTGATGAATGGAAGAATGCGTAGGGGATCCTTTTATAAGCATGGGTGGGTGAAAACCAATTAATACTAGGATTGGAATCAACCAATCAAAAGAGGAGTTTTAAATTGAATAGGAGAAAGACTCTCGGTGGATTTGAGTATGCTATATGAAGTTTTAGCTGAAGTAGAATTGTGTTTATTCTTTTCTCGTCAATGATGCCGAAGCCCATTAAAATTATACTTAATTACTTAAGTGGGACCTATTCTAATTTATCAAAATATTTGTTTGGAAGAAACTTGTGTATGCCTGGTTTACAACTCAAGTTCGCATCCTACTGGACTTCAACCGATTGATGGGCCGAATTAATCAAAGGACTGCTGCGCTCAAAATTACATATATTCTCAAGAGTACAGGCCCAAGAATAGACACGTGAGGGGTTATTAAATCATGAAAGGCCAAAATGCATTTACGAATCGACTCGATATATTCGTGACTTATTCACTTCAAGACGCATCGTCCGTGAACAAGTCTCGTGGGGGCATTTGTAGATAAATAAATTTTATCCTAAAGAAAGGGACCATTGTGCAATTACGAAACAAGGAATTCTATTTAAATTCTATGGCCTATGGCAATTCCGTAATTAAATATTTAAATACAAATCAAATCAAGATTATATGCCGCATATTGGTATATATATTTAAATATCAATTACATATTTTCTATTTTAAATCTAGGGATTTAATTAAATTAATTCCTAAATTAAATAGATAATTGATTTTAAATATATATATTTACCAGTAGAATTATTTATTCTCTTCCAAATTATAAGGGATAAATATTAATTAATTATTGGCCAATAGAATTGTTTCTTCTCTTCCAAGTTACAAGAGATAAATATCAATTTAAATCGGGCCAATCAAATCGCGCCACATCATCAGTAAGGCCCATCAAGGACTCTTATTCTACCACTATAAATAGGGATCCTCCCTTCACAATTCAAAAAGACAACTGAAGGAGCAGAAACCGTAGGAGCAAAATTCTCTCTACAATTCAAGAAGCAAGGAAGAAGAATTCGTAGGAGGTAAGATTCTCTCTCTACATTCAAAGTGTTCTTCGTCATATTCGAGGTGTTCTTGAGCAAATTCAAGGCATTCTTCATCAAATCCGGCATTCAATCCGAGATAACGGTGCCAAACCTTCGGATTAACGTTAATCAATTCAAGTCAAGATCACTGGAAGATTGAAGGGCCAAATCCATCAAGAATTTCAAGATCTTCAAGTCAAATCAAGTCAAAGTTCAACGTTCGATCCGAGATTCAAGTCGCAAGACCCTTGGAAGACGTTATTCAAAT